TTAGAGTAGGAAATTTTGTCATTTTCCCTGAAGTGGTGATCCTTTGATCCATTTAAGAGCATACTGTCCTCAGGATATGTGTCTGAAAATACTGACTGATCCAAGAAACATTTAAGTATTTGCTGAATTGTAGCATGTTAATGGTCATGGACAAGAGTCAAGCATGACTTCATGTGCTTTTCGGTGTTAGAGTGCAGGAATCCCCTTTGTTTGAAAAAGGAAAAATATCCTTAAATGGACAAATACTGCAGGTGATTAACAAAGTGAATGTGGCAATGGTGGAGCCTTCAGAGTCTTGAAACCATGTTTTTCTGGCAGGTAATCCTTAACCAAAACTTTGTAGATAGGTTAAAACAACCTCCTAGTAATATAAAGGTGGTGATACTAGACCTAATGGGTGATCAGAACAGGACACACTACAAAATTCATCATCTGAAAATCTTTCAGGGCTGTTACATTTCTGAACAACAAAAGCCTCTGCAGAATCCTCCTGGGTAGAGAAATTAATTAGATCTAAAGGCAAGTCTTTCCCCATCAACTCTAGCTGCTAAAAACTTGGTGGAAGAGAATAAGCTTTGCTTCACTTGCATGAGCAGAGAGAAAACTCAGACACATGAGCTATTGTACCCAGGGACGGAACGGAGATGATTGCAGAGATCTATCAGCCACCCAGTTCCTACCCAGAAGGAAACAGATCATCAGGTTGCTAATAAAGTCCTAATCCTGCAGAAGTGCCCAGGCACTTAGTCAAACTTGTGCAGCAGATGCCTCTTCCATACCCATCTCCCAGTTTCCACGAGCTGAGTTTGGTCTTTTGTGCTAAGGCACAAGTTTCTGAAGTGATGTATACATCTCAAGACACGAACAGTCATGGAGAAGGAGGAGCATTTCGTCCTGGTACTCCTGGGCTTGGATGTTCATTCAAACCCCTTTGCAAGGGACTGAAGATGGGGAGGGGACATCTTATCACACAGCAAATACTGTTCTTTGAAAACCTCTGTAAGATGAATGAGGGGATCTCTCCTTCCTCCCTGTGGAACGTGAACCTTGTGAGTGTCTCAAACCTTCACAAATATGTGCAAGCTCAGAAGAATGTAATGAGCGGTCAACCTCCCCTACACATCTTTCCACGAGCTATCTGGAAATTTTGACCAAGATAATTTCTTTAATCTCTTTGAAACTTAAGAAAACCCACTGTACCTATAAAATGCAGTGGGATCCTCCCACTACTCAGAAATCAAAGGGTTTCAAGCATTACTCAGAAGCTCAAACATCATGGATCATGAAAACCAAGATGCCTTGGCATGCTTTCTTTCTTTTCCCCTTTGAACTTACCAATCTGGTTGAAGAGGTACAGTTTACAATTTGCTGTTGGCACAGATAACATACCTCCTCAGATGGATAGCCTGAAGCATACGGGAAGCACGTGCCAAACAGGCCTCCGCATTCCCTGTGCTTCTGTTCTTTCTCTTTTTGGTTCTCTAAGCTGCTCGCAAACTCTCACCTCCTCCATGGATCCCATGCCTACGCCCCGTCTTTCCAAGGAGCTATACCATTGTTACCATCGTCACGGTATTAGATTGCCTTCTGTCTCCCCAGTCATTAAAAAAGAAGAGTTCACCATCCCCAGAACATGCCTACCAGAAGTACCTACGCCCTCCAGGAGTCTAAATTTAAAAAAGTATTTAATTTGACAATTGCAGCCTCTGATCTGTCAATGTGCTTTCCCTAAAACACAAAGAAAGGCAAGGAAAAAAAAGCAAAAAATTCCAAATCCCTCATGATTTTCATGACAGGGATAGGTATAAGGAAATAAGAGAGTACTCCCCCAGTGCAGACAGGAGTCTCATGCAGATAACCCCGGTCTAACAGCAGCAACGAGGAGCTAACCTACCCTGCTTTCCAAGCAGGTGCTATTTGCAGAACAAGACAGAATTTGCACAATTCCCCATGGCGCTTTGCCAATATGTTCAATCTCCTCTAGGAAGGAAAACTTCAGGCAACGTAACTCACGGGAAGTCTATTTTGGCCCATCGCATCTTATTTTTCTAATTTGCCAAGGAACCTGAAGTGAAATTTATCTTTGAAAGAAGAACCCATAGAGGCTATACTTAGTTCAGAGGGTCCAGGCCAGTGTTCCTGTACCTAAGGGATGCACAATAAATACTAGGGAGTGGAGTCTGGATTCCAACAGCAAAGTTTTCCTTGACTACAGCGGTGCTTGAAAAGTTTGTCCCTCCTGTCCATGCGGGCGCCTTGGCCTCTTTTCTGAGCACTCAAAGACAGCGAGAAATCACTGCTGAAACTCAACCCAAGAGAGAGAACACCATGCCCTTACAAATGGGGGATGGCTCAAATTTCCTGTGCTTGTGGCCAGTTTTGTTTTGAAAGTAATCATAATAGGAAACCTACTATAATGTGAAGTTTTAATTTCCTTCCAAACTTTATAATCCTTGGAGAAGGCTGAAAATGGGATGCACTACAATTAGCAAAAAAGAAGCCTTAAAAAAGCCTTGCGGAGAGATTTAGAGCCCAATCATAATTTACATTTGCAGGTATGTAGATCTCTAAGTGCACGGCTTCTGCCCTGATTACTAATTAATGAGGTGCAAAGATGCCTGTTGGAGGAACCAGCTCTGATTATGTGGGCCTTATGGGAAAATGAAGCTCTTGCAATCTAAGAAGGCAGATGATATCTTTAACATATATTTTAGAAAATTACAGGAACAAATCAAGGGGCAAAATATACACACGTATATATTTTTAAAGAATCACACACAGCCAGGTTGCGTTACCATCCGATTATCTTATTTCCTTGAATATACAAACCTGGCATGTTTAATAGATTTAGGATGCTGTCTATTTTGCATGTCATATACATCCACTTAGGCAGTACCCTGGTATTCTGAATGGATACTACTGTCATTACAGCATTCATTTTACAATCGTTTAGAGGAATGAGTATACGGAGAGCTGCAAGGTGGGGTTCCCAGTTCAGAACCAAGCATATGATTAAAACTTCAATTTGGCTCAGATTCAGAACAGTACCGTTCTATAAAAAGGAACTTTAGGCAAAGGTTTAAGGCCCATCAGATGCTTACGTGGTTTGTTAACATGAGAAGGTTTTTTGTTTCTTTTCTATTTTCTCCATTAAAATTTCATCTCCATCTCATCAATATCACGTGCTCCTGCATCACCTCGCTGCTAGGAGAGCACAAGGAAAAGACAGATGTAGCGAGGTAGGCCATGACATACAGCAGGTAGAAGGAAGACCATTTTTCAGAACATTTCCTTCCTTCTTTAAAGCAGAGGATAAACAGTAGTTCAGAGCAGGTCAACATCTTCCCCA